GGTTCTATTTTTAATAATTAATTGTACGTGACTGATTGATAATATACTCATGTGGTACGCGAAAAAAAAATTTAAGAACCGCTGCTCTACACTACTCTACTGCCTCACCATTCGCGTGAATTTCCGAGATATTTATACTAGCAAAGGAGTCTTTGACTTTTAATGTTGAACATGTTCATGATTTTTGATTTTTTTTCGATAAATCATTTCAATCAGCTGTTTTGCGTGTTAACGCATTGTTAATGTTATGCGATACCGGACATGTAATCGTTTAAATTATCTTCATTAATTGTGTATAAATTTGAATGAAACTCGTGTACGAGTTATAAAATTTATCGGTACGTACCAACATTTCAATCGTATGCATTGAATGTCTGCGTTGCGCGTGTTAAACTATATAGAATATACATTAAATATATTTAAGGTATATATGCCTACAAAGGGTGTTATCATTAATCGTAAATTATTTTTTTACGATAAATCATTATTATAATTGTGTTTAGAATCTGACCTTTTTGTTTTTTGTTTCAGACCTGTCGGCGAAACAATTGAAAAACAACACAAAGATATGCGAAGAACTGTTACGATTAGCTGACGTCCTGGAACCGGGCATCACCAGGTTCCGGGGTCTACTACTGTTTTACCTGGTATGCGGTCTGAAAAAGTTGAAGCGTATCAAGAAGAAATCAGTTAGTACATATATGTTTACAAATTATTTTCTATAAACCTATCGATATTGAAACTATATTGCGTTTTGAAAACGACAGATAATAAAATTAAAATCGCTCTTTTACTGGTTTGATGGCCGATTTTATAACCATAACCACGTCATGTGTGTTTCAGAATTATGACGAAATTATCAAGAACTACACGGAAAAATCGGTGGCCATTTTTAAAACTGAACCAGATTTGGACTATTTAATCGATCGATTGCAATAACCGCTGATGCGACGTTTGTACAATAACGTCCAGCGTGCGGTCACCACGAATTATTTTAATCAATGTAGTGTCAACTAAAATCTTTAGCTTGATGTTTGTTCATCGTTTGTTTTGATTTTGTAGGTTAGTGGTAACTATAAATTACAAGATTTTTTGGAAATCAAAAACATTACATTGCCTTGTGTTCGTCAAGACTGTGGTTCCTCAACACAGCTGTAAATAAATATGATTCCTGTGAATTAATTCTGAATGTTATGTTTATCATTATTATTATACGATGTCATTCCGAACGTTTATGCGCAGCAAAATGTGTTGTGATACGACATATCGACAATTTTGAAATTCTTAGGACTTATTCAAAAATAAAAAAAATACTCTAACACTCGGACAAACTGTGAAATTCTAAAACGCGCAAAAATGTATAATCGTGCAAATGCAAAAAAAACTATAAAATTCACTCCGTTCAATACGTTACCAACGTTCTCGTATTAGTTGCATTAAAATTCGTATTAATATTCGCTCGTGCCGTGCGATAATTAATTTGAAATATTTCAATAATTTTTATCCCCAAGAAAACACGTTATAATTATTTATTTTCGACGATTGCTTCATCAGAGGCGAGTCACAACTCGATGATCGAATCGATTGCAATTTTTTTTCCACGCGAACGTAATTGCATAATTCGTCCGTTTATCATTACAATCTAATAAAATGTATTTGTGATCGAATTATTGGATTTCACAACGCTATCAATTGATCATAATACAATAACAAATCGAATTGGTTAAGACTTACGCACGAGAATGATGTATAAATACAATTCTAATGTAACGCTCCAAGACCGCGAATTCGCTTTGCGACGAGTCGAGAATATACGAACGGTGCGCGCAATGAATGTAAATGTCAAATACCAAAATAAATTCGAATGTCTCGTGCGTGCGGATAAATGACTCACAGCCGGCTATTCGGAGCGAAAAATAAATTATTATTTCTTCTACACGTTTGACGGTTAACGAATCATGTTTTGATTCAGTGGACGTTTGGATTTATTGATGGCAGCCATTAAACGTGTAAAATAGTTTTGTTTTTGATTCATTCAATACATTTGCTGAAATTGCCCGTAATTCTATAAAATTACTAGTTATTTAATTACGGAATTTCATAAATTAAAACTAACGTATAAACTTACGTCATGTAACGTCATGTATACGTAAATGGAACTTGAACAATAAAAGTTGATAACAACGACGCGTTTTCGCGGTGGTTTTTTTTTTTTTTTGTCATTTACTAGTACATATTTTATTATTACCTTTGCAAGAACACGGTTTACGTAACTTTTTTTTTTCTTCTTACGCATTTATAAAGGGATAAGGAGGACGATCGAGAACATTCAAAAAAAAACGTTTTTTGCTTCTATATGAATAATATAAGTATGATCACGTTTTGATCAATGGCGTTTTTTTTACACAACTCGTCGTACATCATACGCACGTACACACATCCCTTGCACCGTATATTGGCACGTATGAATTATAATAAAATAATAAAATATCGATACATAAACGGACAGACGTTTTCCGCGAGTATAATAATTTGTCTAAACATAAAACTGAAGGAGCTATACAGCAAGTTAGTAGACGTGAGGGTGGTTCGAAATGTACAATATTCATCTTAGAGGTTATGTAACACAATAATACTATCAGCCGTTCGAGCGGCCGAAAACAATAATAAAAATAATAATAATATTAATAAAATAAAAAAATTACACGTCAGTAAGAATATTACTCAATAACTTAGTATAATATCTGTATTATAAATTCTTATAAACGACCCGTTGTTGGGTACACGCATTTTCCTATTCATAAAGGTACGACAGGAACGGTAAAATAGGGGTGGGTTTGTTCGAGCACACAATTCAATATATTGATATTACAATTCCTAAAACCATTCGTGTTAAGAATACTTTAAATACGTATTCGCAGAAACGTAAATTTATACAACACATTCGTTTTGGTATGTTTCTACTGAAACGTGTTTAAACAAAAATACAATATTCACTTTGCGTCAATTGTTTGGAATACTGAGAACACAAGAGCTTATTTATAAACTAAAATGTCGCGTCCCCCTCAAGTATTTAACAATTGAGATTTTTCATTTGTTCGGTACACAAAACAACATTAAACGATGATCGAACGAAATGTAATAAAATAAAAGTTATACAATAATATGCTTAGAAAATATCAAAATTAAAAATTATTCATCAGTAAAAACGATTTTGAATTTCTTAAAATAAAAATAACCGGAAAAAAAAGTATTTTTAAAACACTTCCGTATAATGTGTTCTGTACGCGTATTTACAAACTTAGTCACTAACAGTGGCGTAAATTCAATCTTGCTCTGGGGAGGGTTTAACAAAAATAATCGTTATCTTTCTTTTTTTCGTTGCACAGATAACTAAGATAAATAACTGCTATAAATAGATATTATTTTATACAACTTTTTTATCAATTTACAGTTTACTTTTACATTACAGTAAATTAATAGCTATTGGAATATAAAAACAGCATAGTTAACAAAACTTTTCAATCACCTATCAATATAATTATTTAATCATAATATTTGTATAGTTGTATATTTTAAGTTCAAAGTGTAATAATGAAACTACGAATATATTACACGTCATCAATAACAATTTTTTTTTTTTGGTTTGGGGGGGTTTGAACTTGGCCCCCCCCCCCCGTATGTACACCACTGGTCACTACTATGGCCAAAATATGCCTTATAAATTGTTTATAATAATGTCACCAGCCGTAGCGACGTACAGAACGAAACGTTCTACGATCGACGGACTTCTACGAGTACGAATCAATCACGATTCATATGATTATTAACGGTGTTAGACCACGTTCATCGTTTTGTATAACTATGAACCGTAAAATTGATCTCGGATCCGCGGCCGTCGCTAACACGGTGCGTGTAACCTACACACGATCAATCGCGATCGACGCGGAATACAAATGGTGCGATCGGTCACGAGCCCTACACGCATATCGATCGTCAATGGTGGTCGAACGCAGTTGATTGACGTGAAAATATTAAGGACGCAATACGGGTGATTCGTAATTTCGCGCGTTCGCGGTAAATATCCATTTATACTCCGACACGAGTGTTCAATAATTGACAATTATTGTCGGACAATTATTGTCGGATCCGAGGACGTAGGTAAAGATTATTTACCGGTGGGGCAGGTTAGGTTTGATGTATTTAGGTAACGATTATTTTTACTCATTACATATTTATTCGCTAGTCGGGATTTTGGCGATCGAGGACGAGGTTAGAACCTCCGAAACCCTACGCCATTGGGTGGATCTTTACCCGGAAATCGTTGGCCGTCTCCGATGCGAATATGATAAACGTGTGTTGAGCATTCTTTTTACGCAGTATCCGTAAGAGCAATTTGAGTAAAATCTTTGGGGGGCTTCAGCCCTTCCTATATATTTTTCAATCAGTGCCTCCCAGAAACTTTTTTTCCACCCTTCACCTTCTATGAAAAATGTGCTTATTGGAGGGCAAGTAAGACTTAAAAATAAAAAAAATTTTATTTTTTCAATAGTAATCACATATTTTTTTTATTTATCAATATTATAATATAAAGTTCTGCATGGTTTATGGGGAGGGGGGGATTTTGGAAGTTTTTTATGGGGCATATCCCCTTTAGCCCTCTCCCACCCTTAATCACGCCTATGGCGGTATCGTCACAACAACAAACGACCGCGTCGCATGACATTATTTTATGCGATTCACACGATAACGACAGTGTATAACGGTATGATATCATAATAGATTGTTGTTGAAATAAGATGAGCAGTCGGTCAATGTGGCGGTGGCAGCGGTGGCGACGGTGGGTTTGCTGAACTGCGTCCAGCGGCTGACCGCGGTCGACGGAGACGAACCATGATTATGGTATCCCACGGACGCGGTGGCGGAAGCTGCGGCGACAGGGATAGCGGTCGGCGGTGGAGGCGGTGGCGGCGGCAGCGCTGGTGGCAAACGCTTGGTTGGGTTGACCGCAAATCCGTTGTGCGACCCGTTGTAAGCCGCGGCAGCCGCAGCGGCGGCGGCGGTCGGGTTGAATCTGTTCAAAAGCAAAACATTTCGAGATCACTAACACGCCGTTTTGCACGTGCCTACAAGCGCGAATCGGTTGCGCGGTCAAAAGAAAAAGATACATTTTTTTCTAAATTAGGCGAGTACTCTTTTCCGTTCGAGGAAAGATTCTTTTGGAGCGGTACCACGAGTAACGAACACTTCACACCGCTTTGAAATGTAAACATAGTTCGGCCGTGTAACAAACGGAAAGTTTTGCCGAAACGTTTTCAAACGACTCTTACCAACATATAATCCTCATCTCATCTGCTCACCGATTCAGATGCATAGCGAGAGTGATTAGTAACCACTGGTTGTAGATCAGCCTCAGGAAGTACAATAATACAATTCGTGTAACCAACGACACATCCTCGGTGATAAACGGAAGAAAAAAACTGACAGCTTCGTACATAAATATCTGCGTTGGTTATAATTAAGGAACGGATTTTATTTGTAAATACAAATTTTTATTGGAACGAGATATTTTAAATCTGATAAAAAACGATTAAGATCATTCTAATTGAAATAAACTCAAATATATTTTACATATTTTCTGAAATTTTTTATATTTTTATTGATTTTTGACGACGGTAAATATTACAAGCTTTTTCAAACGTTTTTGAAGATCTCCAAATATTGTTTATATATTATACATTTTTTTATTTTGTAATTTTTAATACTAATATATTTTGGATTTTTTATTCCATATTTTAAGACAAATTGGTACATATTTATGTACATGTATTGATTTTTTTTTTATTACAATAAAATCCGTTCCCTAATTATAATTATATTCCTATGCTCAAGGGTGGTGTTTCCCAATGGGTGTGCTGTAGCACACTAGTATGTCGTGGAGTTTGAAAGGTGTGTCGTTATAATTGTAAAAGTACTGATTCCCGGACAAATAGACAGAACGTTTGGCGAAAGTGTGCCGTGATAGAAAACAGTTGGGGAAGTGCTTCTTTAAAGGATTGCAACACAGAATTGGGTATGCTCTGTGGACATTGAATTTAAGAGGTTGGGTCAGGTAGCATGTGCATAAGCTACGCGTAACGGTTATGGCTATTGTAATATGTTATGATTTGTACGATCCTCGTGTTTCGGTCTTCTGAATGAAAATAAATTAAATTTTATAGCTCAGGAAATATTTGGCCTAACCTGTATTGTAAAGTTGAGAAAACCATTCGGATCTAGTATTATTTTAATACCGTTTTGTCGGAGGTATAATATAATGTGTCATGCTACAGGGACTTATACGAAATGCGCGTCTGAGACGATCCTAGAACAATACGGAAATTATTCGTAACGAATGGGTGTATTGTACTGAATGGGTCCGAAACATATACCTTGAAAACAAAAATATTTATTGATCTCGTGCGATATCCCATCTCAGACCGTTTTCGCTTTACATCGAATACCGTTTGAACAACGAAATGTCGGTTGTACTTGGACCGGTTCGTCGTGTTTACCGATGTCGTTACGAACGGTGTTTACTGTACATGGTAGAATCATTGATGAAATGAAAAAACGCAAGGCTCTAACGAAAAAAATTGATCACATTTAACGATCGGTCGTTACGCCCGGTAATCTGTTCATTACGATGCTGGATTAGGGAGTTCGATTGAGAATTTTATGATACAAGAAGTGACATGTCCTCTTGTAGTTGTCATAAATCGACAATGAGCATGGTATTCATGGAACCAACTGAAAATCAATGGAAGAAAACGCAAGGAATGTGATTTTATTTTCATAAAAATGATTAGTTCACATTTTTCTTGATAATCTAATAATAATTGAATTAAGTTTTCTAAAACAGCATAATGTTTTTAATTTATTTTCCAATCCCAATGTGCCTTTTATAGGAAAACATACGATCGGTTCGTGACACTATACAGTATGTCGGTCAGCAAGAAAATATCGTAGGAAATGAAAATGTGTCGCGCACGTAGTTTTACGAGTTGCGAATTGTTTCGGCCGCAGTGCGGCATAATGACGTTGTTACATCGCGATTGAAATCTACATAATCCTTTTAACGCCGCGAACGGTGTGTCGAAAACGAACGATGAAACCGAACGTGAAACTCGAAAGCATGCGCGCGCAAGGCGATCGACGAAAGGGTCTGCGGTCGCGTCACGCAGAGAAAACAATAAAATGTCAAGATATGATCGTTACCGACACAACTCGGCATTTTTCCCGGATAATCGGTCACCGTGAAACAACCACGTGAACTTGCGGTCCGGACCGCGTATAAATTCAAATACACCGTCAGGGCGCGCGAATTACCAACAAACCGCACGAGCGGTGCGGAACGCGAAATGTTCACGACATTTAGCCGTCGCAAACCCTCGGTTTTGACGGGTACGACGAAACCAAAGTTTTACAATGTTACTTTAGTTACATTAGTTACTTTAGTCGTTGACGGAAAAAAAAAAAAAAAAACACTGACATCGGTTAAATTTTTTATCTCATGTTCGTTTACTTAAAACACAGTTATATACAGATAATATATATTATTGTTGCGCATAATACGTCCGACGTTTTTTTCGTTTCCGAACGGACGTAGCGAACAATCGCTCGAGCGCAAAGCTCTGATCGAGAGACGTACAGGTAATATATATATATATATATGTTATGTCGATCGATTTAAATCGTATCCGTTCGTTTGTAAGTTCGTTTACTCTGTTCGTTGTCGTACGAAAAACCGCTCCGTTAAATGTTTCTAATACGTGTTTTGATAGAAGTTATAAAAATTCTCTAACATGTCTCCGTACTGATGGGCCCCGTTGGCTCGAGCGTTCTGCTGGTATCCGTCCCACGCTGACCCGTCGTAGTAACCGTTGTACTGGACGCTGGGCTGAAGTCTCCAGTCCGCGGTACCTGCGAAAAGATACAATCCCGTCTTAACAGTTTTACAGTGCTATGATCTTATTCTAACGGGCAGCACGACCCGAATTGGGCGGTAGGAAAAATCAAAAGGGCAGTTGATCTTATGAATATGGGCACCTCACAAAAATATAATTTTCCTTGTAGAATGATTGAATTTCTACTGTGTATTTGAAATCTGTGTGATTCATAAACCCAACCTAGTACCTAACAAGTGACAATTATGTAAGTTTACAATATTTGCTACTTCGACGATTGATTGATCAATGAAACATATAACAGTGGTGTACAACGGAAAAGATCCGTATTTTTTTAACATTTTATCACGCGATGGTCAAAATTCTAAAATATACAATATACAATTTATTTGCCGAGGGGTTAAGTATAATAATCAAAATAAATTTCATAAAAAAAACTTTTCAGTGTGTTTGGGCAGTAGGTAAAAATCTTTAGAAATAAGCCCTGATACAGAGGCCGAAACGTATTAATACGGTAAACCGATGTACGATCAAATTTCACGGCCGTCATTGCGACGGATCAACGCCGGTCAACGGTAAACGTAAAAGTCTCGCACCATATTATTGAAATGCTATATGAATGAAACGCTAAGAAAACCACAAAAATACCAACAAAATCGAATGAGCGACGAAAATAACGGATGCGTGACGCTATCTGGCGGACGTACGAATCTCGGTAGTGGGCCACCCGGTGTACCGGCAGAGAACGATGTGAATATATACGTCAATGCGTCAAACCGACCGCTAGAGGGTAGAATTGTATGCAATCAATAATAATATTACGAATCACTACGACGACATCGTCCGTTAAAAGCGGATGAGATTATTTTCAATATGATTCGACAGAGTTGGTCGACGGGTTAATGTTGTTCTGAACAGAGGCGTATTTTAGGGGGGCTAAGAAGGTGATCGCCCCCCCCCCTGAATCCGCGTTTACGGAATCGTATATATGTGAGGTACACATTTCACATTATTTTAATGTGAATCATTTTATAACGAAATTACGCGTGGTCGTGAACACCGAACTGGGTTTTTCCTCGATTCCCGTACTTAGTAAGAAATATAACCAACAATTTTACTGGTAAATTTTGAGCCTGAATTAAAGAAAACATCTGAGTCATAAAACGAAGTCTAAATACGCATCTGGTTCTGAAATACCGATTTATGATGTACGGATTGTTTCCTGGTACAAAAAAATTTTAACATAAAATTTCGACACTTTCGAATCCAACGCACATCATCGTAGCACTAGCCGTTTACGATCTTGTTGATGGAAAATTAGAGATGGTTTACAATAGAATAATTGTCCACCATACGGAATGAAACCTACTCGACCCGTTGCATTCGTAGCCCAAATGTTTCTTACGTTTCTTCGCGCGGTTCGTGAAATAGTTGTTTGGAAAAAAATAAACCGTGAAACATTAAATGCATCTCATTGTTGGTCATCATGATCGGTTTTGACGGGTGGACGATGGATCCAACGTATTTGATTGTTAAACATCTAAAACCGATTGGATCTAAATACTTAACCGTCGTCGGGCGAATATTATCGTTCCGATATTTTTACACGAATTCCGTACGCTGAATTTCAACGTTCACCTACTTGAAAAATGTTAACACGACCATAGTTTAATTACATTTACAATCGTACATCATTTCAGTGCACATGTTGACGTATGGGCAATTCGGACAGTATAGATGGTTTCTTGTTCGAGTATTGGCATCGTGTTATTATGATCCATTGGCATTCAATATAGATTAATGATTTTTTGTGTCACATTGTTAGAACAAATCTAAGCCGTTGTAGGCTGGTTGACCTCGGAAAATAAAAAAAAAATTCGAACCACATAACAATATTACAACAGTAGGCATTTTATCATTTCGTCCGAGGCATGAACGGATATATTCGTGATATTTAAACGGCTTGAAAACATATTTTTTTTCTCAATATCAATACTAGATAAAGGCAGTCGTTCATCGGCTGAGAATCAAAAAAATCATAAATAATTTATTCAAACATGTTTCATCGCCATGTTTATAAAAACCAAATCGAATGATCGGTAACACGTCATGTATAAAAGGTATATTGCAAAGAAATATTCCACGGCGTCCGAATCTCCAAGGATAAAGGACATACAAAATGTATTTCGTTTTAATGAGGTTTCCCCCGAAAACAAAAATGTATTAAACGTTTACCGGCATCGTGGTCTTTAAATATTCGCGTGTTATTTCTGTCGACTGTATACTCTATCGAACCTGTAATAGTTCGTTGGCAACAAATCGCTACGTATTCATATGATAATGCGTGTTAATTATCACCATCCCCGTTCTACGTATTATTGTTATTTACGGATCGAAGGTGTTAGAAATATTTAACCGCTTAGAATACTACTTACGATGCAACGTCTCGTATTGAACAAAAAATATGTAAATCGCAAGACTAATATTTTCGAGGTCAAAATCCAAAGAACGAACGCGAGATGTCGCGTTTTCACCGTATATTATCGCAGCGCGAATATAATATCGATAACATGTACCCGTATGTATATTTATTGATTACGCGTATTATTATGATATCGGTTCGCCTACGAAGTTACGTTTTTGAATCACCGACAAGGGTTTCTAACCGTTTGCGAAAAAAACACCGCTGCGTTCGCAACGGCCGTGGGTTAAAAGTCACCTGTCGCAGGAATCATTATTAATGAAACGATGCCGTGAGGACGTCTGCATATAATGTACCTACAAGTGTCGTATTATTCTCCGTGCGCATTAGACACCGTCGAACTCTCTCAACACGCATTTGTGTAATAACTAATTATAATGATCGTTTCGAATTACCGGTGTACGAAGGTGCGTTTAGGTTGTCCGAAAAATTGCTGCTGATTATGTTGTGCTGTACGTTGGAACTATTCTGTTTCCTCCATCTCGCTCGCCGATTGCTGAACCACACCTGGAGAAATCATTCAAAGGATTTATTTTTTTTTCTCTTTTAACGTTCCGAGAACCTGCAGAGGTCATGTGTGTACATAGATATATTTTCTAGCAATTTGAATACATAAAAAATTGTGTATTCGAATGACATAACGTCCTCAACATACGCGAGTTTATCCGTTACACGGTATTACAGTGCCGTGGGACGTACGACCATTAATTTCAATCGTTAGACATGGCTGTACGCTTCAAACGCAATTTTTGTATGAAAAAATAAAATAGGAACGTTTCAACGATCTAAATTATACACTGACACGCGCGTGTATATCATTTTGTACTTGGTCAAAGTTCAAATAAAATCAATTAAGTGCGTATACTTGATACATGATCCATTATGTGATATGATTAGAAGTATTATATTTTACCTATTTCTCCAGCACTGGCATTGACATTAAGACTGCTGTTTGTACTTAGTTTTACGGCTGTTTCTAACCATTTCGTATTTATTACAATAATCATAACGAACAAAGACAGAGTCGCTACACACAATTTTAATCGGTTGATAAATTATATTTAAAAATATTACGTAACATTACATAAAAACGAAATTCGTGACAACGGAATAAATTTAGCTACGTAAAATCTGTCTCTTGGTCCTCAAACTAATCTCATTGATTAAATTCGGAGTTTAAAATGCACATTTTCTTTAAAGTTAAATAATATCACATTATATCCATTTTTATTCGCGTTCCCTTGGTATCATATGTGTTCACTTTAAAAGATACACGTATAACGTATTCCAAGCTGGGAAATGCTGCAGATATGCCTAGAGTTAGTACATACACATACCAGTATATCAGTATATTTATGAACATATTTGGAAATACATAATTTACGTTTTAGCGTTTAAGTAGTGGTCTAATGTGATACAAGGGAAGACAGAACAATTTTTTCGGGGTCGATGGGGTGGTTTATTATACTGCCCCGGTAAGATTTAAATGTTCAAACCGTCCCTGATATAGTGATATGCTGTCGTGTATCGACTTACTTGAACCCGAGGTTCCGGGAGTCCGAATTTTACGGCCAGGGACTCTCGAGCCGCGATGTCCGGGTACTGACAGGCTAAAAACGATCTTTCCAATCCTTCCAGTTGTTGGGCCGTGAACGCTGTCCTTCCACGTCTCTGTTTCCTGGATATCACGATACCTGGTTCCGATGGCACATCCACGTCACCGGTTCTTCCTGTACACATACACGGACAGAATATAGTATACTTCATAATACATTATTCATACTGCAGTCGCAGACGAAGAGTACAACATAAAATTATGTGACATAATGTACATTTCGATTTACATACTCATCCTAACTCCAAAATCACTTCAGAAATCGCATCTAGTTCACACCTACGACGATCCCAAAGGGAATTGTGTCGAAATAATATGTTGGATAATTAAATCGGTTGATCAAACAACATTACATTTGATTAGAAAAAAACAAATAGCCTTATGTAAATAATCGGTTTCATCACTGGATTGACTTCTTTGTCACATGTATCATTCAGCCCCTATTTTTTAATGAACCCAGACACAAAATGTGTAGTCCGAAAATGAAAGTGTGCATTACGGATTCGAGAAACGTGTACCTACTAATACTAATAATTAACACTATTATGAAGGTATTTTTCAGGAAGCCAGTTTAAGCAAGACAACTGATGAAGACTTAAATATATCTATTAAATTTTAAATTAATCATATTACATTAAAATAAATGATTTGTGCATAGTTTTCAGATTCATTCCAGGCACAAGTGTATTTTCAGTTTAAAAAACAAAAACAGATTGATCAGCTAATCATAATGTGCAATTTGATTAATAAAAAAGGACTACAAAAAATGATTACTGACAATGTACTAAAATTAATAATCATATGGGATGGGGTAGAAAGGAGCTCTGTATCATATCATTGTACGTTAACAAATGTGTAGCACGAATTTTTATGAAAAATAGAGGCTAGTGCCGTTTGTTGTGTTCACAATGATACAATATTGTTGCTTATTAAGCCTCGAGGCATCGGAGTTGTAGGAGTGAACAAAAAATAAAAAAACATTATGATACGATAACGGTAATAATAATCCTAGCTACCCTAAAAGCACACGCGTATTATGTACACGGAATATATTGTGTGCGTTGTGCACACCGCGCGCGCACGTCAAAATATTGTTACGTTACGAGTTGCAAATATTTATTTCCTACATCCGTGCAACGTATGTGCGAACGTTTCCCGAATCCTTGTGCAAACAAACACATGTAACATGCGTTTGCGGCGGACGGCGTTATTATTATTTTTTTTTTTTTTCGGTTTGCCGTAGGACGAGGACGAATTAAAAAAAAATCCGCGCGTTTATGTATATATATATATATATGTACAACGTGCACCTGAAGGTTATGGAATTATTTTACGCGCGACACGTTATTCCATATCGACGGTATACGGTAGGGGGTGGGCAGATGATGACGACGATGAGCGGGGGTGGTTAGGACCGTGTGAATTCGATCGCGCCGCGAACAGGTTGTACACATGCGTGTTGTTATTGTGCCAGCCGGTGTGGTCCCCTTTGACTCGGCTCATGTATTTTGTGTAATTCGCGAACATTCGGCATAATACGCGTCTGCTGTACGTACGATTATTATTGTAATACGCGCGCACTTGGTTCTCATTGAACGTCCGCGTGTATCGTTTTAATACGTTGTATACGCATAACGTTTACCGCAGACATCACAATGCGTCGTACGAAAATTTCTCCCGGCGAACGCGTAGTGTATACGTGTATATATAAACACGTTTCTTTTGTAAGAACGCCACACGTTTACGTCGTTTGTAGTGCTGCGATAATCCGAAATCGCGAGGAGAACATCAATAATAACAACAGAAATCCCTATGTCTTCTATTTTTCTTTTTTCTTTTTAACAAAAATCAGGAAACGTCTGACTTGAACCGGTAGTCCGTGTTTGTACACTAGCAGCAGTACATACAGATTATGTACAGTAATAATATAAGCCTTAAACAAACTTCGTTTCCCATTGCACGCGACGCTACGATAAAAAATGCGGTTTTTTATCTCGTCGCACATACATTATTAAATAATAAATGTACGAGTCTATATACACGTACACACAATATGCTTTTGCAATAATGTTTACTCAAATAACGCAGTGCATCATATTGAACGTTCGTTCGAAACCAACAGAGACGTGTACAAAGGATTTATTATGTACTGTAGAGGAAATCCTCACAGGGTACAGTTAGTTTTATTGGTGGTAATTTTTTTTTTTAACCTTTACCTGTCCGTTTTGATTTCGTAGAAGATGATCGTATATTTTAGAAGTAATAAAGTCCATTGTGTATAAAAGATTTACCACGGTTTAGACCGGTAGCGTGACGAACGGTGTCCGTCGATAGGTGGAACGGAAAAGGGATTTCGTGTACTATAAGGTTTCGTACGAAATCCACCTCTGATAATTTCATTAAACCGAATAACTCGATATCACGAAGTAAAAAGTACCTTAAATGATTAACACGGTCGAAACCATAAAATGTTCAGTATTATCAAATAATAGACGTTCGATGTGATCCGCATGGACTTATAAAAAAGATAGAACCTAATTCCGTTCACAAAAATGATACTAGATTAACGCGAATTAAAACCTTTTTTTTTTCATTTTTGGTAATAATTAACAGTGTGTATTAGTTTTCTCTGACACCGAAAAAAAATAACACTCGAACTTTGAATTGTTCTAAAATAACGAAAGTTATAACTTTTAAAATTAATCGAACCATTTCCATGAATACTTGTGAAAACTCTGAGCACACTGAATTTTTACATCAAACGTCACGCGCGATGGTTCGAAAATCGAAACCGGAATCGTAACTGCAAAAGCCTGTTGTTTGTATTTTGTCTTTTACCGACCGTAAATGCTACAAAAAATCCATCACGAGTAATTATACCCGTCGTACAATCTTGAGCGGGATGCAATATCTAAGCGATGACAGCTGTGAAAAATATACGCCAAAAACATGCTTCCCCGTGATATTTATCGGAAATCTGTGCGCAGTAACGGGCTAACAAGTGTTTTAAAATCTGTGGGGCGTAACTGTCCTGTACGGGCGTAACGCACGTGCGTTTTTCGCGTATTTGTGCGATAATGGACAACGCTCGTCAAAATAATAGGTGTACACACGTGAACTCATTTAACTCGGAAACCGCGAGCAAAAGTGTACAGTTTAACCGCGAGTATTATAATCGAGAAAAATAGGTTCAATGATTTGCTGTGTACGATGCTGCTAATAAACGGTTTAGCAGAAGAAATAAGAAATAGGACGGCTCGCCAATCAAAACTCCTTTTGCCCGCAGATGCATGTATTAATTTTTTAAAACAGTTTTAAATTAAAAATCAAGTGTAATAACGTAATCATTTTGCCATTAAATTATTATTTTTCAATTCATAAAATCGGGTATTCGGTCAACTCAACTGCTCGGAATCGGCTAAATATCATAATTATCTCACAATTACAAAACCCATTAGGTACCTACCAAATGTATATAATTATTTTAACATTTTATATACTATTATTACCGTGGTCGCAGTGATTGATTACAGTGTTGTGCTTTAGTTCAAAAAAATTAGGTTACGATTAGAAAAATGATAACTGAAAAATCCCTAATGTTATAGCATAAAGTCAAAAAGGTATCAAAATAATACTAATAATAATAATAATATATTTGCATAGTTAAGTACAATAAACGATTAAAAGTATTAATTAAATGTTATTTTCACAGATGTGAAACTTTTTAATCAACTATCGTATTTGTTTACTGTTATAATATGATAGTTAAATTTTTATTTATTTATTTTCCATTCAATGAATACGACATTGGCAAACGATTAAATAATGCGAAACGATGACGACGACCTTTCGTTTATTTGAATAATGACAATAATAATAATAATTGTAAGATTAATGTTACATTTTTTATTGTAGTTAAGAATCGAAACACATTGGTCAGGATTGTATTATACATACTAGCCGTGACGAACAAGCTTGGATTAGGATGATTTTGAGCTCGGGGCCAAACAATTTTAGGGGCCTATATTAATAAGTAATAACTAGGTATATTTTTATAATCAAAAACAGTTTTACAGCTATAACTTAAACACTAATATTACAACCGTCATAATTTCGTAAACGTAACCGACGGTATTCACCGTACTCCGATGTTCTTATAAATTCCTTCTTACCATTATCATCCTGTTAGAAATTGACGATATTGTCGATATTACGATAGCATAATAATAACATTATCCATTATCGATGCAGTGTAGCCTACAGGAAACGTAAATGTATTTTTTCCAAATATTTCTGATTTAATATAAAAAAAAAAACGTACTATCCCATTATCGTTTGATATCCGTCGTTGGTCCCCTCTGCCCCCGACCCTTAATCCGGGCTTAGTGGCAAATTACCGGATCGATGACGCTGTGCTGTACCGTTGGTTGTAAAACGCGCTAGCTAACTCGTTTAGGCGATCGACGGTCATATGGTTTGCGAATAAAATAATATATAACAAACCGCGAAAAATAAAAATACGTACATGTACCTAACCTACAATGTATATGCGAAACGAATAATATAATAGGTAGTTAACGGCGGATTGTGCAACGAAAGCCGTATGCGTACAACTGCATTGTAATAATATTATAATTATTCCGTACGGGCCGTAGGAATATAAGTGTCTTGAGCAATTAATGAACACACGTGGAAAAAATACGCGAAGGTCGAGTTAGTCAACAACAACAAAAAAAAACCATAGCGGCGCAAATATAAACGTAATAACTGGTCGCCGCGCTTTTGGTACAATAATAACTGTGACCACCACTCGTTATGGCGTTGCACGACTGCGCTAAATTTTGGTAAACGTCTGATTTCCAAACGAGAGACGGTCGTCCGATAACGGCTTCGGCACTCTCTCTTCGGCTCGGTCATGATATATTATCGTTATAGACTGTATCATTTAACGTGAATCTCTAATTTGATCACTCGATCTCGCCCGTGAAATATTTTATCGAAGTAATTAAGAGCAATCACTATTAGGATGTAAAAATATGCACAAACGTCGTCGTATATTCGTTTGTTTTTAAAAATGGATACATTATTGATTTACATACACCTCAATCGGTTATC